ATTGATCACCTTGACGTTGGTGATAGTGCTGATGCTAAGTCCGTGATACTTAAAGAATTTGATGAGTTGTTTCCTAAGCCTGTCAGTTTTTTGTGGCTTGGGGTTACGTAGAAGGATCACTCCGTCGTCCCTGTACAGTCAGGTGTTCTCACTATGGAAACTATATCTAAGCCTCCATAGAAGTAGAATGCCGACTAGCTCACAAGCTTCCGCAGAGTCGAACGCACCCATCGCTAGAGAGAAGTTGGGATTGTCTTTTTTTGGTCTACAAAGAACCATTGTAGTATAAGATGTTTTTCTGGGCTTGTATGATCTTCTGATATTCTCGTCAGTTATGATGCAATAATTCTTAGCCAGGTTTATAGCAGCCATTAGTAGGTCTTCAATGATCGACAGGCTAAAATTGGATATGTCAAATTCAATTTTTAATATTAGCGAACCAATTTATAGCGTCTTTGGTATTTCTCCACTGGTTGACCCCTGTTGCATTCCTAGTGTAATTACAGGCTCGTTCAAGTATAGATTTGCTGATCTTGCCTATGTTATTCTTAGAGGGGTTAAGCAATCAGAACTGTGGGTTGTTAGGAAAATTGTTCCTATGGTCCTTAACGTTTACAGCGTTTCAAATTCAAATTTTTATCCAGTTATGGAAGGGAGATAACTTTGTAATTTTTTATTTTAAAAAAGAAAAAGGTTTTTAACTATAATATTTTAATTTAGTATTTTTATATAAAACTTTGATGCTACAAACATTAAAGAACTTTGTTGCTATACTCATAATTGTCATTATTTATTTTTGACCGCAATTCTCTTATATAAAGTGCTTCCAGAATTTTACGTTTTTGCTTATTATTATTTTGAAGTACGAATTTTTTTTCGACTAATATCTGCCTAAACTGTGAATGCGGATATGAGTGTTCTGAGAATGAACTATGCTCATTCTGTCGCTCTCAAACCCTCCTTGGTCGTCCAAGAGACCCAATACCGCGGTTGATCGATGAAGTGATTGCATTGATCCCGGATCTGCCTTATCCCACATTGTGATTTGATTTGATCACAAGGAGGCCAAGAATGAATCGTCGTATGTATCTTCGTATTGGGCTAGCCCAAGCAGGGCGAAGACGCAAAGGAAAACAAAAGAAAAAATAATATTCGAATAATATAAAAATATTTGTACTATTTTTATATCAAGTCCTTCGTACAATAGTTGGTTAATTGTTGTTAGAGTCTAGGAGTTTGTATGCAGGCGTTTATCGACCCAATCCGCTTCTTAAGTCAGACGCGACACTTTGTTAACTTGGTAAAGTTTGTTTTGCTGATCTCGGAGATTCTCGTTGGCAGATAGTCACGTGTGTTGTCTCGCGTCCGATGGCTGGAACGAACACTCAGGACGATCTGATCTCTTGCTTGAGGCATTCGTATTTATTGACGCTTATCTAAAACTGGTTTGGGGCGTGAGGTGGTTAGGTATACAGTACTTTCTCTACCTAATACAAAGAACCCTTTCTCCATTGTTTGGGTCCCGAGAAATTAATTACTTCCCAATATGGAAGTCTCCCCCTTTCCTCGGGTGACGGTCGAAGGAATTATTCCGCCGCACAGCTTCTTCCCCCTCTTCTTAGCATCTCCCACTAATACTCCTCAGTGGACGTGGGTAGCTCCTCCACCCTCCTTCGCTTGCTACTTCAGCCGCCCTCCGACCAACGAAGATTAATTCCAAGTTCGTTAGTTAAAAGAAATTGTCATTCCAAGCTTATCATCTCATAAGTAAACCGACACCAGTGATGGTTTTTCCTGATCTTAAAGTTGAACAAAAAGCAGATGGCCTTCTCCCCCGCCAGGGACATTCTCCAAGGGAAAACCTTTATCTCCAGATTATATTTTTCTAAATCTTATCCGATTCTTCTCCACCCCTGGTTTCGCGACTAGCATTCATGGCGGCGGATGTCAAAATATCAAATTATCGCTAAATGTCCCTGTCGTAAAAATTAAGTCAAGGAATTATTATTTCAAACCTGCTGCCGCCTCCACAGAAAAATTCCCCATGTCAGGTTTATATTTTTCTCATCCGAAATCAGGTACAGTCCACATGGCCTTTCCCGTCAGCGACACTCATCGAGGAAACCTTTATCTGAATTGTGATTTCAAATCTTATCCGATTCTCCCATTTCTGGTTCCACGGCCAGAACCCATGGTGGTTGTCATTAATCATTTGTCAAAATATCACTATATGTTCCTGTCGTAAAAATTAAATGTTGTTTTTAACCTGGTTCTTTTAGAAATTTCGGCTTTCTGAGAACGTGATAGTTTATCAGTATATCGTTCCTGCTATCCAAAAACCTTATTATTCATAATTCAAAATTTTGAATTTGTAGGTCCGATGAATTGGATCTCGTGATTACGATTCCAATGTAATAAATTATAACCATGGAATATTAGTGTTTGAGCCTTTTATATTATATTCTTACTCTTTCCTGGACATTGAGTTCTACCTGAATGTTATCCTCTTGAAATTTATATATATATATATATATATATATATATATATATTGACCACTAATATATATATATATATATATATATATATATATATATATATATATACTATAAACCTTAATTTAATGGCTGCGCGTGTTTGAGTTACTGTTATTGTATCCGTTTTGTTTTTGTTTTTCTTAAACAGTGAAATTAATGAAAGCGGCCTAAATCGTGAAGTCTTACTAAAGAAAAATGTGCCTCTCTCCCATGAATCAAATCTGGATCCCATTTATTCATTAGGTAAAGCATTTCTGTAACTGAAGCATGCTGTAACCAATTCTGTGCTATGATTACGTCAGAGAGAGAGACATGTTACCATAATTATTGATAATCGTAGTATTCTAAAATTACTAAATTCAAAACAGTATAATTTTAAGAAGAAAAAGAAAAAAATATAGTCTGTCGATAATGTAGTTGCTTACTTATCTAATCGGGAAAAAATTCCTTCAAATTTAAAGTTCAAATTTTCCTTAAACAGAATTTGTTTGGCGGAATTCTGCTAAACCCCGGAGAGGCCGAAAAACGTAAACTTAGTTACCGCCTTCTGGTTTTATTTAAGCTGCAATACATGTTTACTATTTGTCTAAAACACGTTTCATTCCGAGACTGGACATGTTTGAAACTTATTTTGAATACAAAATACTCGACTGTCACGTTTGATTAATGTGAGTAATGAGTCGTGATGAAACAGAATTGTAAAATTTCCTAAAAATAAAAAATATCTTAAACTGGGAAAAATTCCACACCAAAATAAACTCCCAGAAAACTTTTCTGTTTTTACTTTAATTGAATTCTTTTTCTACCAAATATTTCATGAATTTGATTAAAAAAGATTGCAAGGATTTTCTTTTCTTTTGTATATGTTTTCTGCGTTTTAATTCATTATTCGGTTCATGATTATTTGTATTCATTTCGTCAAAAATGTCAACAGCAGAGTTGATGAATGTTTTAAATATCGGATTTCATTGAGCTTTTCTTTCTTGATTTCTTTGTCGTTTTGTGCTGCTCTTTTAGAATAATGACTTCTTTTTACCTTTCAAATACCATCAGTATTGGCGTGGCCATATTGCAGGTGTGGACTAGTGAAAAGTTATGGGAGTGAAAATTTGGTCTAGTATAAATATTCAACTCGCCCACAAAGAAAGGGGAACGAAAAGAAGAAAGCAGATAATGTGTAAATCCCAAAATTTTATATTCCAGAAATAGTTTAAATGATTTACAAAAATTCTTCTTTTTGTTTAGTCCAGTTTCTTCTTAAGAAAAGTGTTCGCGCGACAGAAAATAGACTAGGAAAAGGAACATTTCTTGATGACTCGGACTGTTATATCCGGTTGCTACACAGATAATGTGTAAATCCCAAAGTTTTATATTCCAGAAATAGTTTAAATGATTTACAAAAATTCTTCTTTTTGTTTAGTCCAGTTTCTTCTTAAGAAAAGTGTTCGTGCGACAGAAAATAGACTAGGAAAAGGAACATTTCTTGATGACTCGGACTGTTATATCCGGTTGCTACACAGATAATGTGTAAATCCCAAAATTTTATATTCCAGAAATAGTTTAAATGATTTACAAAAATTCTTCTTTTTGTTTAGTCCAGTTTCTTCTTAAGAAAAGTGTTCGTGCGACAGAAAATAGACTAGGAAAAGGAACATTTCTTGATGACTCGGACTGTTATATCCGGTTGCTACACAGACTATCAAGCGGACTCTCCTGAGTGCCAACTCGATACGTTGCGGACGTCATAGTAGATCCACAATATACGCGAAAATTTAACATAAAAATTGTTTGGCTCAATTTTAAAGTGTGTTACTTGAAGAGTATAAAATTTCTAGTAACTTCATGACTATGAATTCTTAAAAGCTGAAACTTTACTGATTAATAATTTGATATACGTTTTAAGTTCTATGTCACTATAAATTATGAGTTAATTAAATCTTATTATAACTAGATTACTGTAATTATTATATATGTACGCGGATAAATAAAATATGAGTGACAAAAATGGAAGGTGTTCTCCTTAGATATATAGTCAAGTGGTACGATAGAATATAAGTAATACCGAATGTGAAAACTAAGAAAACATGTATAGAGCACACAGAAAAAAAAAAAAAAGCTATTTAAAAACCACAACACGTTACGACCAATGAGTCATCTTACATTAGGTTGATGCAAAAATAATGACGTAAGAATGTCGTTTTTTGACGTAGAAAAGTACGTCAAAAAACGACATTATTACGTCATTATTTTTGCACCAACCTAATATAAGTATTTAGAAGTATTTAAAAATGTCCACAGAATATTTATATTTCTCTGTAACTTGGCTTTTTTTATATTCAAATAAAAATCTAAAGATAAAAATTGGAACTCTTTATTAAATATAGATTTTTTTTTCTTTTCAGTACCTGGAGAAGAGATTCAGTAGAGGTGTCCGAACACTTGGGTCTCTAACATTTTGCATTCAAATGGTAAGTAAAGTTAAACTACCATAAAATAAATCAAATTCAATATAATTTAACTGCAGTAGATGTTGTTAAAGTGAGTACGGTGGAGTAATGGGTAACAGTTCGGGTGGAGGAATTCCAGTCGAATCCATTACATTCGCTTACGTGCTAATACCCTTGGGAAAGGTATGAATCCTCTTCTTCTCCCTTCCCCCACCAGCTATGGATAAACAACTGGTTCTACAGCCTTGGATGGCAACTGGTCTACTGCAGAAAGAAATGGCAACCTGTTGTGGGAAAAAATGGCAACCTATTGAGGGGTTCTCCCCCTTTTACACAAATGGACTCAGCCAGGGTATACATATACTACTGCTAGTGAATACCCGGGAGAACGAACGAGAACGGACGAGATCGAAGGCGCGAACGTAGCGAGCAAGAGTCACAGTGTAGCGAGCAAGAGTCACAGTGTAGCGAGCACGTAGACTCAGTAAGAAGTCATACAGCGATACGTCGATACCAAAGACTGTATATATATTTTGCTACTAACCCGCATTCCTGGAACTACTAACCTGCATTACCAGATTGTATTATTACGTTAATACATTTATTTTCCTATATTCATTCTTGGCGTTTGTTATTTATTGGTACCTGATTTCATTCCGGAATCCACAACACAACCTATTGTGGGAAAAAATCTGCCTAGTCGGTCATGTATCGAAAGTATCACGCATGACACATAACTGAACTGAGATGTTCTTAAGTAATAGATGGCGTTGATAATTCCTCAGCCCAACCCACTTTACTACATATATAGGATTAAACAGAAAATTTCTTTAATCGCTTCTTTGTCGAACTGAGAAATTTTTGAGTGCCTCATTGTAATTTTTGTTTGGCGTAGTTACACGTTCATCAAAACCTCCCGATCAGAGGGTCTTACTACCAATGTAGTTTACCGTCATACCCAGGGAGTTCTTATGGGTCATTTAATGCCAAAATTTAATTTTCTTGGGAGAATTAGTAACTTACAAAAAATGTATTATTCGTAATTTTTTAATTATGAAAATGCATTGCTGCTATTTTTACTATAAAATTGTATTTTTATACTTTCATAGTTTTTTTTATCTATTTTGGAGGTTAACTATTTGCCCATAGCTAGGATCCTAACAGGTGCTACCACCCCGAAAAACATGGAGCTGGAAGGGAGTCCCACAAGTGAGAAGTGCGAGAAAAGAAAGCATAACATTTGCAGTTACATCTAGCCAACTCAACTGCAAATTCATGAGATTTCAATGCCTGTCTAGTACTGCGCTTAAATTTAAAAAGTCTTGGTACCATAGCGAAGAGCTCATTTGAACAATTACTATGAAAGTATTTACAGTATAGAACAAAGAGACAACCTTGCGGAGGTTGAAAGTGACTGGAACCAATATATTCACAAAAGCTATGTAAGCCTTGCGTTCAATTGTAAAAGCAGAATGACATTTCGGCATTAAATGACCCATGAGGAGTTGATGTGTCATTAAGTAAACACGTCAATCAATCAATTGTTAACGTTCTGTATTTCCCCACAATACACACAAGTTCTCTTAATAACCCACTTTTCTTTCGTATAGTCTTTTGCTCTGCCTCTCCTCACACTCTCTTTCCAACATATACACCCTCTGTCTTAATTCCTTTCTCTCTCTCTTTCTCTCTCTCTCTCTTTCTCTCCCTCTCTTCTAAACACAAAGGCTTCTGTTTCTCGTTGAAATGAATACTTGCTTGAAATTTAAATAAAATATTTTTATATATTTACTTATTTGTTCTACTTTTCAGATATTGTACATGGCCATTGTCTTGTACGCGCCATCATTGGCTCTGAACAAGGGTAAGATTTTACATTTTGTTTCTGTAAGAAAAAAAACCTTTTGTTTATCTCACTTTATTTCGTTAGCCTTGCTGCAGCTTTGCGAAATGATGCAATACGATCACAGACTTTTGAAAACACAATAACGTGCCAAGAGCACGAATTTGTAGTACGTAAAGGCAATTGTTAGTAGCGTCATCGACGTAATAGAAATGCCCAGACCTATATCAGTTGTGTTCTGACATTTGATGAGTTACTAACTAAACTGCACATAGCAAAGCGACATCAATTACAGTGTGACATCCTTCGATTTACGGTGTCGTGTGTGTGCCTGGAATGCCTGATGGGAATCATTACCGTCCAATGAGAACAGCGCAGTGGCCAACCACATGTCCATAATGACGGTGATCAAAGTGTCTATCTATAATTATCTTTGGTAACAGACAAGTGAAATTGATTTAGATCGCATCAGTATTCAATGTAGAAGGTACAAGAAGCACACCAAGCAGATCGTTCAGCGTTTATTTTTATTTTTTTCCTTTTATTGGAAAGAAGAAATACCAGGGTGTCTCTATCAACACAACGATACCGGACACAACACATTGCCTGTGAGCACGCTAACTAAAATCTAGGGTTCTATGGCGTAATACGGCGAATTACAGTTCCTTTTGTTTCGGGATGGTAATAACAACGTTGAGCAGCTTTTAGACATTTTGTTAGATTCATTCATTTGTTTTTACGTCTTATCAACCCTTTGTAAGTTATTTAAAGCCAGAAAATATTTTTAAATTATAAAACTTTTTTAGATAATAATGATCCTACTAATTCCAAGTCCTACTAATTAACCCATAGCTGGGGGGAAATAGGTAGATTCATACTTTCCCCCACGGCTACTTGCGCGTAAGTGAATATAACGACCATAACTGAAACTCGGCTCCCCGATCTCTAAATCCGAGCCGTTATCCATTACACCACCCGAAGCTTACAGCAACTGGTGTTCTCAAGAGGTTACCTATGTAGGTACTGACTGGGCTCAGCGTTGCTTAACTTCGGTGATTTTACAAGAACTGGCGTTCCAAAGTGATATGGCAGTAAGTCACAAGATTATTTATATCCATTCAGAGAATCCATGTACCTCAATAACGATTTGTTTTCCTAATAGGATAATTGTTATACTGGAACACACCTATTCTATAGTTAATAGACTCTCCCACCTATAATAAGTAGTAGTAGCAGTCGCTAAGTCGCTCAGCGAGTTGGTCAGTCAGTCGATGTCGGACATTAAAGTATCAGCCACCACAACTAGATTGCTGCGTCATTAACTATTATATCAAGTTCCTAACGTTTTGTACGTCGAACCTTTTTAGGACCGACTTAGTGAAATACAAGCCTCCACTGTGAAACTACTCTACAACAATACTGAACCGTGTCATCAAGCCTATATGGCCCAGAATTGATTTGGGTGTCATTATCTAGACTTCCAACAAATGATGTGGTGACGACGTCCACTCAAAATAAGCCTAATCGAGTATAGGTGGAGGGGCCTATTCACAAACACGAATATATGCCTACAATATCAGGGGCATATCAAGACGTCTTGACAACATCTCTCCAGAGGTTTTCCTATAACTTGTGGAATTAATGTTCCTCAATACTTGATATATATCCCATGATTCCCATGAATATCAGTCTACATAGAACTACATAAATAACTACGTTTAGATAGATAGATAGATAGATAGATAGATAGATAGATAGATAGGACTCCTGAATAGCAATCTATTTTGACAGATTATCAAAAATTTAATAAAGTTGAGTATTCTTAATAATGTGTAATTGTATCAGAGTAAGCTAAACTAAGTAAAGTTTAATCTCTCCAGGATTAGTAGATATAGAATTTAATATATCCAAGATTAGTAAATATAAAGTGTCATATACCCAGGATTAATTATAAACTTTCATATACCCAAGATTAATTGATATATCATTTCATATACCCAGATATAAGTAGTTACAAAATTTCATATAATCAGGATTAGTAGATATATTATTTCATATGACCAGGTGCTCGTATGTATAACAATTCATATAACCAGTATTAAAGATCTTATAATATTAACAGAGTAAACATAGCTAACTGAATCAATTATGTGCTGGTAATGTAACGGCTGTCGGCCTGTTACGATCACCTGTCACTATTGTAGCGGACCCCTCGAGCGTACCCAGTATCACAAAAGGGTGATGAGGTCACAAGAGGCCCGCTAACATTTTCGAAGACGTAAATCTGACAAGGTGATACAACATAGACGACAGAACGAGAATATATAAGATATAAGCTAATTTATGCTAGAAAAGTAATAAAGAAATAAAGGTGGTCGGAACGGTAGAGATGCAGATGTTCCGGTGCAGGCATTGATGGTCGCGGTTCGTTGTTACAGGTGTCGTTACAAGTGATCGCTGCTGGTCATGCAGGTGGTCGCTGCTGGTCATTGCAGATGATCGCTGTAGTTGAAGTTGATGTCGGTCGTTGCAGATGATCGCTGCTGGTCATTGTAGTTTGAGGTTGATGTTGGTCGTTGCCGGGATGCCAACTTGACGTGTTGGGAAGGAAAGATAAGCTGGCGTTGTTCGGGCATGTCAAAGGTCCAGTGCTGGCGTTGCGTGTTGCCGGTCGAGTCCGATATTAGTATCCTCCCGTAATAATTACAAACGTAGTGTACGGGAAAGGTTATGGACGATGTGCAGGTAGCCAGTAGGGACGGAATGCCGAGAGTAGAACAGGGCCAAGGAGCCAGGAGTAGTAGGCGAAGGAGAGAGAGAAGGAAAGTTTCCAACTATCGTCAAGTTGGCAGACAAAAAAAATGGGAGCGTAACTTAATACGCAGCCCGGTGATCGACGTCCTGGCCAACGAAGGCCAGGAGACTGCGTATCCGACCGTTTCAGTCGCCGACCGTAAATTTAGCGAGACGTCACTGTCTTGTGGTAAGGGAGACTAGCAAGAGAATTGGTAAGCTATCACAGTAAAGTCTCTATAAAAATAAGTCGAGATTAGCTAAGAGGAAACTAAGGCCTATAAATGTCTCGAAGTATATTATGACTAGGTTTGCAATATAACTAAACTGAAAAGGTAACTTGCTAGTCTCTACCTCGTGTTAACAGCGTGTAGGGAGCACAACCGAAAGGTCAAGGTCAAAATGACCTGTTTCTTTTCCGGTTTAAGAAGCCAAGGAGGAGGTAACTCCGACACTATTGCCTTTGGAAAAGGCAGGAATTCTTCGCTTCTTGGTAAAACTTTTGTATTAAATAACAGGGCATAATTGGGCTCTCTAACCTTGGATGGCAGTAACTGTTGTTGAAGGACAACTCTGAGATGAAGACCGTTTAGAAAGACACTTCTCTATCTTTCGCATATCGTCATGGCAATAAACTAAACAGAATTTATGGCGCACCTACATTTTAGTGGAGGTCGTGACATTAAGAGATGATGCTAATTTATTTTAATGTTCATTTTTAAAATTCTTAAAGAATGCGAAAGAGAATTTTTTTATATTTCCAGGTCATTTATAAAGAACGTGAGCTTAAGATTTAAATAAAAGAATTGTGTTGTTGTTGTTTTTTTCTTCATAATAAATGCTGTTATGTAGCTTATGGTTGTCATTTTTTCTTTGTCTTTTTAGTTACTGGATTTAATTTGTGGGGATCAGTCATTTCAGTGGGTGTTGTGTGTACATTTTATACAACTTTAGTAAGTATATTTCTCTCATGATTGTCCTCTATCTTTATACCTAAAATAAACGTGGATTCCAAACAGCTTTATCTTGATGAAAATTATAACAAAGAAAAATAACTCACTTCGAAGAAGATGATTGATATAAATATGGATCTATTCTGGGAGGGTGCTAGACTGTGCGGCTGCATACAATCCATTCCTTATGAAGCTGTTAACGCAAAGTTTTCAGTTCGAGGGGATATAAAAAAAAGTTTTGTACAACGAACACGAATGAATTCCACGTCGCTAGCTGAATTATAACGATTTTCGAAGCCGAAAGTACGGGGCACGCAATGAGAATTGAACTCAATACCCAGTCGTAACTGATCTCGCAAGACAAGCCTTCTAACCATTACACCACGTCGAGTTGCCCCGTCAGTTAATGTATATACTAATATATATATATACTAATATATGTTGAAGACGGGGAGGTGCTGAAGAATTATCGGTCTGATCAAGAAGCCTTTCCAAACGAAATCCTTTTGCTTGGTCATTTACTCAGAGTTTGGAAAGTGAAAAAGGCCTAAAGTTTTTCAGCTCCCCTTGTATAATATTTATTTTGAAAATATTTCTTCGAGTAAGAGAAATGCTATGTGCATCTCTTAAAAAACTGACGTGCAAGAATAAATGTGAATACAGGTTCGGAATCGAATTTTTCTACAACTGAATCATTTGCCTCGATGCAAACCAAACGTCGCCATCACAGAAGCAGCTGGTCAAGAAAACCTATCCAAACAATAATTTCTATTTTGTAGATTAAATTTATGCAAAATCTGTATGCAAATAATTTTAAACTTCATAGAATGTATTATAATACAGTTTAGTTGTTACACTCATGATTTATTTTAAAAAAAAAGGCTCTATTGATATTTCTGGAGTCATTAAATAGACACATGAAATTCGAGTAATACTACAAATTCCCTGAAGATTTTTGTGCTTGTAAAATACCTAACTGTTTTTTTAGGTATTTTTTTTGCATTAAGGTTCATCTTGCACAAGGCCCGGGGGCCAATCGAGGTAGGGGTTACGATTAGAGGTAGTTTATATCGATAGGAGGGAAGATAACGGTTAACCCTATGCTTAAACAGGTTAAGATTGTAGTGATCGAGGAAACTTCTTGGGGGTCTCTTCCACAAGGCAGTAGTTTGTGGGAAGAAGGTGTTGAGTGGAACTGACTCCTTGCCGATGGAATACAAAGGGAATGTAGGTGGTTTGCTACTATGTAAGTGCCATGGCAAGTCCTAGTCGTGAAGTCGTGATTAATATACTTTAAGACACCTGCGTTTGTACTATTCTGAAATAACAATGGCGGATAAGTTGCTGATCGAATTACCATCTTGTCAGAGGCATAATGAAGTGTTATATTTGATTTAAATAATTTCATTAGTAGATAATTAGTAGATAATCTGAAATCTCGTAAAAAATACCGTAAATCGAAACAAAACTTTACTGCTATTTAATTTGGTTCAAAAGCGATAAAATTATTATTGTTTTTACTTTCGCTGGTAAATATCCAATATTAAAATCAAATGTCCCAACTACTGTGTTACTGATATTACACTTCTTAAATGACTTAATCACGGTATCGCTTCTTATTCCAACGAATTCTTCACCTATGTACACCTCTGAGCAAGGGTCGGTCCTTTCATTTGCCCCGTAGGAGCTGGAGTAAAATCCTCTTGCTGCATCCAGTTGTTTCATTCGTTCCTCATAAAGTGCTTGTTAATAAATAAATAAAAATATATAGGGGGCTATAGTTGACTTATTAAAACGATCGTTATGACAGACGGTTATATTTTAAATCTAGTATGACTATTTAAATGCATTTACACATGGCTTATGTAAACACACACGCACGCACACACACACACACATATATATATATATATATATATATATATATATATATATATATATATATATATATATGGTTGGATTGATGTGAGTTTGTGACCATGGGTTTCACGCTTTTGCGATCGTCAGACTCGCTCGTCCGCCGGGGCTGATACAGATATAAACATATGTGGACAGTATGTGTATGTGTGTCTGCGTACCTCATCGGGTGTACGGACATGCATCTATGTTTGCGTTAGCATGTGTGACATCACGACGACGATTCTCCCCCCCACTCCCATAATAACACCAATACACGCAATCTACATAAACCCAAATTAATCAGTTTGTCTGACGATCGCAATCCAACCAAATATGTTAGCTCTATCTATCATATTGAGCGCTTTCTAATAATTACCGCGCATATAATATATAAATAATTATACATATATATATATATATATATATATATATATATATATATATATATATACACACTTTTTCACATATATATATATATATATATATATATATAGATAGACATATCTTCATTCAAACATGTTTCATTGAATAATATAGACATGTTGTCTCTACGTATTTTTATACTGGTTCTTTCCTGTTCTCTAATCAGATAGATGTTACATTTCTACCAATTTCTGGTCAGCTCCCTTATATTGAAACGATTGTTTTGCGAAAAATTCTATAACTACAACGGTTAATTTAAATATTTTAAAATAACTATAATAACGCGTTCGCGCGTGTTTTTAAAAATCACTATCACAACGGAGAGCAGATTTTATCGCAATTGCAATAATTTTGACTTTGTAATTTACTCCTGAAGATGATCTTAGAAAATGTCGAAAGTGCTTAGGTTAACTACGGCTAACTTGATGAATTTCATCTTAACATGAAGAAACTGATGAGGCTACTGTAGAGGATCTGTATATGTCTATATTATTCAATGAAAATGTTTGAATCTATGTATGTGTAATATCAAAATTGTCCAAATCGTGTAACAGCATGGGATAATTTTTCATCCCTCAAAATGTTTAATATCTAAAAAAAACCCACAAAACTAATTGAGTTACTTTTTTCAGATAAGATGTTTAGCTATGTTGACGCCATTTGTCGTAAGAATCACTGAAAAACCCTTTGAATTATTCACTTAGAATGAGAACAGATTAAAATCGTTTTGTGTCACCCCGACTATGTCTTCCCAATTGAGCAATGGTGAGAAGAAAAAGATCAGTCAGGCCTTCAATAATGGTACTAACATTCATACTCTGGCTTCCATCTTCAAAGCCCGTTCACGAACCACCAAAAGAATGCTGAATGTTTAAAAAAGAGGGAACAGTAGAGAGGAAAGCTAGATCAGGAGGTCACAACAGCAAGAGGGATCATCATTTCAACTTAAAGCTAAATACATGCTTATTGATCAAAGTATAGTCCAATAGTGTTATAAAAATATCGCAGAATTCCAGTAATATAACTTTAATCATTTCTAAGATACAACGGTTCAAAGCTTAATCTAACAGTTAGACAATTTTGCTTTTACACGATTTGGACAATTTTGCTATTACACCCTATATATATATATATATATATATATATATATATATATATATATATATATCCGACGCATTTCGTCCTTTGGGGGATTTTATCAAGACAAATTTGCCTAGATAAAATCCATCAAAAGACGAAAACGAGTCGACTAAGATAAGTTTTCTTTTCGCCTTTATGCATATTGCCCTTTTATAGCCGTCAATTTTTTGCCTACACTTACCAAAGACCAAGTCTGCTGCTAGCCCCAAAAGATCGGAGTATAAACACCCAATATCCAGTGACAATTTCTGCCAATTTAATTTTTTTTTTAAATCTCCACTTTTTTTTTCCTCCATTCTTTTTTATAAGCCTTTGTTGAACATCAGTGAACATTAACCAATCGTTCGTCATGTCATATCCGCCTCCGACTATTCGTACATCAACTCATTTTCTCGTATTAGTAGTTAAATTCGGACGGAATTATCCCCTTTAGTTTCGTGTACTCTCTATATTGATGCAACATGGGTGTTGGTATATTTGCCAAAACTCAACGACACATTCAACAGTGTTTATTTAACCAACTGTCAACTATTTCTCCCCTATATTTTCTTATTGTTCTGTAACATGGCTGAAACGATTTCATTGGCAGGACATTGACATCATTCTTTTTTTCTTTTTTTTTTTTTTTTTGATCAGTTAAGAAGTATACCACCTAAGATTTCTTGAACAGATGCTGTTCACAGTCAATGACATCCAGATGTTTAGTGATGTTTGGTGAACCCCAGGGCCAACTCCTTGATTGTATGCTTCTAAAACTCAAGTAGGGGTGGCTAAAGGACCTAATATTGAGAAATGAGAGAAATGAAGACATTTTAAATATGTAAAAACAGACAAAACATGAAATAAACACTTCATTAAAATTAAATATTAGAAATATATATATAAATATATTAAAATTTCATTGGATGCCTTCCCAATATGAATGCACGAGGCTGTCGCACCCTCTGCCCCCGACTTCTGCACTCTACTTTGCTAACTCACACAAAGGGACCAGAAGTGTCATCCTATATATTTTTTCATTGCAGTATATATATCGTACGCTATTGTGATATGACCGATGCGTTGTGAAAGTCAGTTTACTAACCGCAAAATCGTTTGAGTTAATCTAAAATAATTTTACTCTCTCCAGGGTGGTATGAAGGCTGTACTATGGACAGATGTCTTTCAAGTCGCTATAATGATGATTGGACTGCTAGCTACACTCATTGAAGGCTGCATACGAGCTGGTGGATTTAACAATGCCTGGGAACACGCCCGGGAGTCTGGCAGAATTGTATTTGACGAGTGAGTTACAAAATTACTTGCGTCTTTCTTTTTCACACTTGACATGCGCAGTTATAATACAAAGACTTTTACTATCACCATTAATCATTTTTCTTGATTCTGTTACACTAAAGTAAACAGATATATCAAAGTGAACCTTTTGTATCATTTCACTCCAAGTAAGATAATAAAGTCACTAAGACGCAAGAGTGTCAAAGAATATAAGAAAACGAAAAATATTATTAAGTATAAATAACAATAAAAGAACAGGGATTAAGAAGACAAAAGACGTTTTTTTTTTTTTTGAAGGTCAAAGTTAACTGGAAAGCAAGCAGTGGGAAGTGAGAATTGTGAGAGAAAAATCTATTAGCATAGGTCTTACGGTTGCATCTAGCCATTGCAACTGTTGTTAAATAATAGTCTAGTACACTATTATTTTTTAGAGAATTGTATTTCTCTTCTAACTTCCTCAATTTTAACTTTGAGATCAGATACAGAAAAACAAAAGAAGTCGTTTTTGATTGGCTAAAGCTAGTGTGGGAATGAGAACTATAAAAATGTGATTTCAGGGAATTACGTATTACACGTTATGCAATGTAGACGTGTTTTTTTCGTGTCTGGAAATTGCTCCCTTGTGGGGTGGGGGGTGAGAGAGCAACCCCACTGGCTAGTTTATAACATTCGACGTGTTGAATAAAATAAAATCACTTTTGTTGATGTCTCTTTTAATCCCGAACAAAATAACTGGCGATCAACGGCCGAGAAAGAAGGCAACGTTATTATTGTGGAGTCGACTCCGTCAACCAAGACCTCCCCAAGCACGAGTGGGGAGTGCAACACTGTAAAATGATTATACCTTGGCGCGTAAATTCATAATGTCGAGGTACCAAACAGAAAAGCTCATCAGAACAATTACCATGAAAATATTTATAGAAAAGGCATAGTAAAGCTACTTTATGGCGGTGAGAAAGTGATTGAAGTCGAAATGTCAGGTCAGGATCAATAACATTGCAGATTATTCTTTGTATTTTATCAAGAATATTTAAATACATTTCAGAAGAACCAGATCAGATGTGGCAGCAATATTCAATGCAGGGACGAATGGTAGATTCTGGCGAAAAAGATTGTCTAGCATGACAGTGAACCCTAGCCGATTTGAACTTCCGATATGGAGGCAAATGACATACCAATAAGCCAATAGCCTGCTGCTGAAATATTCGACTAAAGTTAACTTTAGAATATTATCTTAGTAATTTATTAACTTTACTTATATTTTTAAACAATATTGATTCGTTGGATTTGTTTAAGATGACGAAAAGTAACTTTAGCATTCTTTGCATTTTTATTACATTTTATTTTAAGAAACTGCAAATCAGATGTTCTCACTTAAACATAACTTATTTCTGCTCTAATTTAAAAGTTTATTAATGATAATTCAAAAAGATAAAGCATTTTTCAATATGTAGAAGAAACTAAAATTATATTTTTTTATTTATCACTCGTTTTGCTTTTAAATCTGAAAAATTCAAATATGTTTGCTCATCTGTTCACTGTCAGTAACGATATTTTTCATCATAATAATAATGATCTTCATCTATTGGCCACATTTATCATCATCATTAAAATTATCATTATTCCAAAATGAATATTATTATTACCTCGTTATCATCACAATCATTGTCCATTGGCATCATTATTCTCTATAGTCTATATTATATTAAAAATACCTTTCTTTTTTTAATGATTTCGCCTAAAGCAAGACAATAAAGCCACTAGGATACAAGGGATTATTAAGTGTTACAGAATATGAGAAAAAAATTGCTATTAAGAAGAGAGGAGAATAAAAGAACAACAATGAAGAAAACAGAAGATAACAACTGACATTCGTTTAAATTTTCGAAGATCAACTGGGAAGCAAGAAGCCAGAAGAAACTTTCACATGCGAGAAGTAGGAGAGAAGAAACTATTAGCATAGAACTTACGGTGGCATTTAGTCTTTTCTACTGTAAAATGATGATACGTTACCACCAATCTAGTACTTCGCTTAAATTCATGAAGTCTAGTTACCATAGCGGAGAGTTCATTAGAACAATAACCATGAAAGTATTTATAGAAAAGACACAACGAAGCTACGTTACAGCGGCGGGAAATGGACTGAACCCGAGATGCTAGGTCAGGACCAATAACATTGCAGATTCTTCTTTGGATTTTGTCAAAAATCTCTAAATATATAAAAGGAACACTAGACCAGATTTGACAGCAATATTCAAAGCAAGGACGAATGGTAGACTTATAAATATGTAAGATAGATTCTGATGGGAAAAATTGTCTAGCACGACATAGTGATCCAACTTACTTAGCTGCAGACTTAGAATTGATTTAATATACTCTTTCCACTTTGTCAGCTGAAAACCTTAGTCTGAAAAGGCACAATGAGTGACTCTCTTGGAAGTTTGCATTAGCCATGATGATGGAAGGTAAAAAGAGTTCTCTCAGATAATTAAAAGAGAGCAGTTTCATTTTTGAGACGTTAAAATTAATAAGCCATTCCTATTCTTACGCCATTTCAACTGTGAAATGATGTAATTTCAACAAAGCCGTTACCATGAAAGTATTTATAGAAAAGGCACACGTTACGGCGATGTGGAAGGGACTGAAGCCGAGATAAAAGGTCAGGAGCAATAATATTTAAGATTCGTTAGATTTTGACTAATCTCTAGATATACAGCAGGAGCACCAGACCATATGTGGCAGCAGTATTCAAAGCATGGATGAAAGATAGACTTATAGATATGTAAGATAGATTCTGGAGAGAAGAATTGTCTAGCACGGCATTGCAATCCAACTTACTTAGTTGCAAACATAGCAATTAATTCAATATAATCTTTCTACTTCATGTCAACTGAAAACATTTGTCTGAAAAGGCACAATGAGTCACTCACGTGGAGGTTAGCATTAGCGATGCTGAATTAAATTAAAAAGGATTCTCTCAGATTATTAAAAGAGAGTAGTTTCGTTTTTGAGGCGTTAAAATTAACACGCCCCTCCTATTCTTAAATGAACAGGAGTTCATCATAACCATAATTATTCTAAGCATTAGCGACACTATTCAAATGGACTTCATCTTGTTTTTAATAGAAATTGTACTCATCATCATTACAGAATAGTTTTTGCGCCTTAACACTGCAGCTCTCATCAATTTTCTCATCATTATTAAAATACAACTCGACTTTCTATTAAATTGTAGATTGCGTACATTTGTGTCTTAAAGTGAAAAATAAATTAAGAAAGAAAGCAAACAAATATATACGTTAAAAATACCGGGGTAGTCAGAGTAAGTTGAAGAAGCTTTGATCGTAAAAATAGAACAAAAAGAAATTCAATTAAAAATGAATAAAATAAAGATAATAAATTTGTATGTTCCTGGTTGATACGCACAAAAGAATTCTACAGAAATAACAATCACTAAATTGTAAACTCACTTTGCGATTTATAAGTCATGTCCGTTTATAATAATAATAATAATAATAAGCGAATCGGTCAGACGTTGTGATCAGAGACCACAAAAACAGAATATGCCTTCTTATTGACATGGCAGTCCCTGCAGACTGTAATGTATCTCTGAAGATCTTCAAAAAACTATCAAAATACAAAGATCATGAAGTGACAATCTCAAAAATGTGGCACATGCGAACATCAATAATCCCAGTTGTAGTTGGAGTCCTCGGATTGAGTGGGAAAAGTTTCCGAGGTATCCCTAGTAGCCCAGACCCTAAAGAAATACAAAAAAGTGTACTCCCAAGTACAGGTCACACCTTAAGGGCTTTATCTATGTAAAATGTATATCATTTTAGGTTGTTTTTCTTTTTACAAAAATGCTCAGTGGAAAATGTCATGATTCCATTTCTGACATAAGGTCTCTGGATGGGGGCTGAAAGGAAATGTGTATGCTATAGAAATCAAGATTGAAGCAAATAGACCGGACATAATTGTCAAAAACCGAAAAGGAAATAAACTTGAGTACTAATTGATATGGCTTGCTCAGCGGACTGTAACAGCAACCAAGGAATTTTAAAAACTATCGAAGTATAAAGACCTGGAAATCGCGGCAGAGAAAAGTGTGGAAATTAAAAGCAAGAATAGTACCAGTCATAATAGGTGCGCTTGGAATGATAAAAGGGAACACAACAAAACATTGAAAAAAAATCCTGAAATCCCAGCTTAAGAGAAATACAAAAAACTGTCTTGATAATTACAGCCCACACACTAAGAAGAAAGTTGTCCACATAGCGCTAGTAATGTTAAGGGAGATAGAAAAACAAATCGTGAAATGTAGCCATAACAACACACCACTAACTGCCTTAGGTCTTCCTGCAGACTTGGTAGGTAGTGTGACCATAGCAATAATCAAAATATAATAATAATAATAATAATAATAATAATGCTATATATAAATTTAAATTGAAAAGTAATGGAAATTGAGAGTGTAAAGCTATTCTAGAACTTTATGGACAATGTGATGATGTAATCGAAGCAATCATTAGTGTCCAGTAGAAAGATAAACAATGTTGGATCTTCGATGTAGGGGTACCATGGGACGCAAGGGTAGTTGAGAAAGAATACGAGAGGACGGAAATGTTCCAAAATTCGAAAAGTGCTTGTGAGGATTTAAGAAAATAGAAGTTGTTTTGGTTGCTCTTGGCAACTGTGACAGACAAAATATATTCAAATTAAGATTCGAAATAAGATGCTTCAGAAAAAAAAGCTCCCAATTGTTAAATTGCGACATTAAGCTCAGCTTGAGAAAAATATTATGATGATCATCATCATCGTCGTCAGCAGCAGAAGGAGCAACAGCAGCATTAGCACCACTAGAACCAACATCATCATCATCATCATCATCATCACTACCACCACCTTCATAACCACCATCATCATCATCATCTTCACTACCACCACCATCATTATCATCATGTTTACCGCCACCACCACTATCATCACCACCACTACCACGCTCACCATCATCATCATCAACAAGAATAAAATTGCCAATTATGAAAAATCTATGAGCTCGAACACACAGAAAAGTGGTATTGGCATAGGCCACAAATGTTTTGGTAAACGAAAAATCTAAAGTCTTTTTTTCGGGACAAGAAGATGCAAACAGATAAGACACTGGAATACTCCAAACCATACGTACTTCTTGAGAAAGAGAGTAGATGTTGCAAGATTATAGACGTGACGTGTTTATTTGATACTCGACTCAAGTTGTTGAAAAGGAGGAGACATTGGGCAAATATCAGGACCTTGCAAAGAGAATAGAGTTTCTATAAATGACCTTTCAAGACAGATCTACTGGAATAAACTATATTAAGGCACAGCAGAAAAGTAAATGTCGCATCTCTGATAAGAGAAATGAAATAGTCATAAATTAATGAAGTTAAATAAGTTAACTTAAAAACAGTACAAAACTTGGGTACTAATGAAACTCTCACAAGAGTTGCGTAAATGATTTGAATTTGGTCATTCAAACTAATGGGATATGTACAAAATAAAATTAGTCCTTGAATCCGTCTTTGAAATTGAAACAGAACGCTCATTCCAGCTCAGGGGATGATTCAAGTTATTGTATACACGATGATAGATTGCTAGAATGCCGATATTATGTGTGAATACCATTGCGAAATATATAAATCCATTTCCACCTGGATGTAGGTTAAATAGAAGGACTTGTATTTGGAAAAAATCATTGTAAATTTAAGAGTTCCATTGGAGGAGTAAAAAGATATAACGGTAGCAATTCTACCCAACATTATTGGCAAGCTTTAGAGAGTCCCAAAATATGCCTGTCTAGTACATCGCTTCATAAGAAATAATCACCTTCTAGTTGAGGAGAAAGGAAAGAGCAATGAATCAAAAACTATATTTTTTTTCAATTCCCAACACTCCGTTTCCTGTTAGTAATTATCTTATCATATTTAAAAAACAGTAAAAGAAAACAAAAAAAAAGATGACGGTGCACCTCGTCTATCAATCGATTAGAGAGTTTCATTCTTACAAGACGTCACATTATTAAGGCCTTTTACCAGACTTAGTCAAGCGTAATAAATCTCTATATAAAAATGTACAAAACAATAGCCGTAATTTATTTCTAGTATAATTGTCTGTCTATTTTTATGATGTTGAATAATACTTTTGTCAATTTTTTTTTTTATTTATTGCTTAACAGCTTTAACCCTGATCCTGCTGTGAGACATACATTCTGGTCACTAGTAATTGGAGGATATTTCACGTGGCTAGCTGTCTATGGAGTAAATCAAGCCCAAGTACAGCGTGCCTGCACGTGTCCAACTTTGAAGAAAGCCCAATTGTGAGTTTTAATGATCATTTTATTACTAGTACTTACTACAATCACACATACGTACAGGACGAACCTCATGCACACACACACACACACACACACATATATATATATATATATATATATATATATATATATATATATATATATATATATATATATAATTATTTATTTAAAAATTATAACATATATATAATTATTTATTTAAAATTATAACATAAATATGTTATAAAATCACTACAAAAATAGCCATTGTGTTTCAACACCTCCGGTGTCTTAGCAAGTGATGATGTTAAAATTCAACATCATCACTTGCTAAGACACCAGAGGTGTTGAAAAAAAAATGGCTATTTTTGTAGTGATTTTATAACAAATTTTTAAATAAATAATCATATCTGCTCTACTCTGTAGTCGATCTAATAAAACAGAGCTATTAAGTATATATTAATAAATATACATATTATCCCTCACTGTAACCACGTAATCTTCAGGTGCTGAGTATAGACTTAACGTTACATCGTAATTTAAGTTTTAATAAAAAATATTGGTTGCTGCAATGTTAGCGCACTCATATATGATACGGGGATGAGAGTTTGTCTACTCACATGCGAATGTAATTGGAGCGAAACTCAACTCAAGTAGAAACAAGATAAGTGAACATTTAATTTTATTTATTACAATATATATATATATATATATATATATGTGTGTGTGTGTGTGTGTGTGTGTGTGTGTAATTGTGTATTTGATAAGTAATCCCTCTTTTATACAAGTTTCATTCAAGATGACTAACAAGGTACAGCGATTTTTCTTGCAATCTTACAAGTATTTTCTTTTCTGGACATAAGGTGTGTAAAAACTGTACAAAAATTCTATGGTTCCGAGAGCTTTCGGATAATCTATTAGCTATTATCAATGATGATTTTTAACTGAATATGTATGTTTTTAGACATATATATCTATAGGGTTGGGAATGTTTTTTTTGTTTTGTTTTTTTTTTTTTTTTTTTTTTGTCCGTACGTTTTGAATATACTTGAGAATAATGTAGTAATAATGGAAGAGTAGATAGATGCTGTTTAAGGGGCGCGAACAAATTCACGTCTCATGGCTCTTTCGTTGATGCTATAAAACATTCCAACCCTAGCAACTGAAACCACTCTCTTTCACCAAACTGTCCGTATGCGGTGGTGTAGCTTTGTTCTACAGCGGGATGACACCTTTGCACAAATGTACTAATCTTTTTCGACGAACAGCTTCCCCCAGTCTCTGCTGTCTTTCACAGTATCTTACTATGTTTATTGGCTAGCCATGCGGTATGAAATCCACTGGCAGCACATGTTTTGCGGCACCGAATACAGATGCCATCCATTTTTCTCTGATTGCTGAATTTTTGGAGTGGATCGGTGGTAATGGATGCTTGATCATGGAATCAACATTTGTCTCTGTAGTGTTTTTTGTTTGTTTCACCCAATTTAATGCCCAAGAGCCACTCAAGGAAGAGAGATTAACAAACGATATTATTTGATGAGCGTAAGAGCAGACGTTATGAAGTACAGTTATGTATGTCTCATCACACTGCATTCCAGAATGTTTCCGTCACCTCTATCTTCTTCTATGTGTCGTGTCCCTTTAGAACGTTGGTGATCATGGCTCTCCACAATTTCCTGTCTCTTATAGCTCTTAATAACTTTTATATTTTTGTTATCTCTCCTAAACCATGCTCCGCCATCAATTTACTCAAACTTGCTATGTAGGTTATGCGTTGTTTTCCTCTTGCCATCAATCAGTCCTGTGAGTATCACATTTTCCAAGTCCTCTTTCCTCATTATATGCTCTAGAAATTTTAACTGTCTCTTTCTGATGTTAAGTATAGGTGTCCTTTTTTGCTTCCATTTTCTCTAAAGCTTCGTCCTTGTTCACATTTAAACTGAATATATTTTTTAGTAAATGTATTATTCTAATGGCACCATTTAGATTTGAAATTTTGATCATTTTGTTATTAGCAATGCGGCGGTGACCGAACAAATAAAAATAAAATATGGACTAGCAACATCAAATTTCAACACCTACGACAAATATTTGTCTGCTAAAATACAAATAAATGTATATAAAATGTTTGCTAAGGTGTTGTGTGTTTGCAATTTGTTAAATTTAAACTAAAAGTTAATACAATATCCCGTTTATCTCTATGTGTTTTCTTTACCTATTATTATTATTTTCAACCTAACTAATTTGATGAATACGCCCAATCATGTCTGATTTGAATTGAACTTCTTGCTACTACGACGTATGTCCAACGTATCTGTTTTTAAGGCTAATTGCGCCTCTTGAAAAGAAGAGTTTCGCGTCAGTCAGTGAGTTATGCGCCATGCGTGATACACGCATAGGCGAATCATGTATATTTCGGTACATGACTGACGAAGCAGATTTTTTTTCCAGCAGTAGGTTGCCATTTCTTTCTGCGGTAGACCAGTTGCAATCCAAGGCAAACTGATCTGTCCTGCTATTTACCCACAGCTAGGGGAAGAAGAGGATTAATACCTTTCCCAAGGCTATTAGCACGTAAGTGAATGTAATGGATTCGACTGGAATTCGAACCCGAGTCTCTGATTCCTCTTCTCTTACTCCACTGTGCCTCCTCTGGGTTTGGCGTACAATGACCATATTTAGCAAATTCTCAAGTTGGAGTTTTATTTCATAACCATAATGAGAGTTAGAAATTTCAGCCAATTTCCGTAAGTTGGTGTGTAGTATTACGAGTTGTAAGGTCTTTTTTTGGAAGGGTATCTGAAAGGTGAGGTTCTTATTCTTCTATGCGTTGTGTCCATTCAGGGCGTGGGAATCATGCCTTTCCACAATTTCCTGTCCTTTGTAGCTCTTAGAAAATTTTCTTTTATATCTCTCTTAAACCCTGTTCTGAGATGCATTTACACAAGCTCGTTAGGTAGGTTATGTGCTGTTTTCCTCTCTCGTGTCTTCAATATGTCTTGTGAGTGTTAAATCTTCCAAGCCCTTTTTCCTTATTATGTTCTCCAGAAATTTCAACTATGTGTCGTCGCTTCCCTCTGCCTTTTCTACAAATACTTTCACGGTAACTGTCCCGACGAGCTACATTCGCTGGTTCCCAAACTGCATGAATTTAAACGTGCTACTAGGTTGGCATCTCAGTCCCACCCTTTCACTGTCGAAACTGTTAAATGTAGCCATCTCTTCTACTCTAATAGCTTCATGCCTCGCACTTCCCCTCTTACTTGCTTTCCTGATAGCTATAATCTTCAATTATTCAAATGCAATGTTAATCGACATCTTCAGATGTCTTGGTCTATTTCCCCGTCCTTCTCTCCACCCTTTCCCCTATCGCGCCTCTATACTCTTGTTCTCAATCCTCTGTAACCCTTGCGTGCTAGTGGCACTCCCACTTTATTGGGGTGAAATTCTTTAAAAAAAAGAGCCAAGAAGATGACACTTGCCGATATTCCATCATTTGAAAGATTTCATGTGTCACCGACTTCGGAAGAACAAGTTCCACAGCCATATCACGAAGTTTGTGCCATTTATCATTTTAGATCAAATCTCCCTCGCACCATGATGCCGTCGGTTGTTCAATGTGGACACTCTGCATGAGGTTCGTTTCATACGCCTCTCTGTGAAGAACGATCCCTACAGTTTGATTACTACGTGTTCGCCATACACGGCATCCAATTCAAAATTAATTTCTTCTGGAATTATCCCTTAGTAGGAACAATTCATATTACACCTTGCAACTCTATTTTTGTTAACTGTTTTATGATGGAAATCACCTTTGTTTTGACATCAAATACGCATGCGCTCAATATTACAGCTGTTTCGGCTGTCGTACCCTCCACCCTATTGCTTTGTGTTCACATTTTTCTCGCTCGATGTTTTACTTCCGGTTTAATGTTCGGACACTTTCGTACTTTTTCGTGGGACCCATACTTCATGATCATTGAAGACCAGGTATACCCGTTCACGGCAACATTCAGCAGGACAATACACTTTACCACACCGAATGATATTTTTTTGTGGTGAGTCATTTCCGCAAATGCTTGTCCATCAAACACTCGAGATCCCATCATTACTAGCATTTTTCGCACTGTAGAAGCAACCATCATGTAACTCGATGCAGTTAATGAACTTGTTATTAACAACCCGGTGTCACACCCCAAAAGACTTGCTGTCAACAACATGGTATCACATTCTAAAGAGCTAGCACTTAACAACCCGGTACCACATTCCAAAGGAGTCGCTCTTGATAACTCGATATCACATACCAAAGAACGTGCTCTTAACAACCCGGTATCATATCCCAAAAGATTTACTCTTAACAAACTGGTATCGCATCCTAAAGAACTTCCTGGTACCACATCCCAAAGGAACTGTTATTAACAACCCGATACCACATCGGGAATGACTTGTTATTAACAACCCGGTACCACGCCCCAAAGAACTTACTCTTAACAACCCGGTATCACATACAAAAAACGTGCTCTTAACAACCTGTTACCACATGCCAGCGGAAACTTTTAGGGATCTTGTAAAATCCAGTGGGTAAAACCAGTCTTGTAGGTACATGAAGGACCCATGGCTTATTAGGCAGTGGTTCTTTAGTCTTTTAGCAAATCGCTATATGCCTATACCTGTGCTTTTTGAAGTGACAATTGGATATGATTCATTTATTTATGAAGAGAAATACAATCCACACCTAAGGTGAGATTAATTCATTTTAAGAGGGTACTTCAAACAATGCCTATGGCACTTTGATATCAAGCATAGATATCAAATGACATTTGGTTTATCTTTATTAGGTGTAACAACAGGATACAGAATGGACAGTTGCGTATTACGAAGGCAAATCGGTGCAATTCCAATCCGTTAATGAGAGTCAAATGTTTATTAACAGACTCGAGAATGTAAGAAAAAAGACAATGCCATTAAACGCTCTCTCTCTCTCTCTTTCTCTCTCTCTCTCTCTCTCTCTCTCTCTCTCT